TTGGGGTACGAAAAAAGAACGGCGTCACAGGTTCCGAACAACATAAAGGCACTGAGAGCCCAATATAAAACAATAAAAGACAGCTTAAGAAAAAGTGGGTCTGGATCTGATCAAAACCCAAGCAACCAGGTCAACCCACGTAATGTGACCGTCCAACACTTTCAAGCTTGGCGTGAAATCTCAATCGTGGTGAGTCAAGCCAGGCTAGAGGTTCTAGTGTGACCGTAGCCCCAGTATGCTTTGCTTATAAACTCTCTTTTATGAGGCTTTTGTGAGAGTTGTTTATAGCCATGAGAAAAAGTCCGGCTGTTGTACCTCAGACCCTGGGATTAAAAGGCAACCATCTGAGCCACTAAGCTTCACAACTCTACTCCAAATAGCTGTCTAAAAATTAATAGGTTTACGCTATGCTGTACAGAATATTAGTGTGATGTAAGAATGTGACTTCCATGTAATTAAACACTACATCAAAGCTTGGGCCGAGTGACAATTATTGTGCCAAAAGGTGTGATAAAATGAATTGAATTTTCATTCAGATGTTACCACTTTACCTGTAGCGACTTTTGAATGGATCATCTTTCCATTCGCCTTATACATGATCCGTGCCTTTGTACATAATCCGTATCGGCCATGGATTTCAACATTTTTGTAAGGTGTCTCATCTGTTCAAGTAGTAATTATAGTTGTTGTAGAAATTACTATCAAAAGTTGAAAGGTCATAGGAAGCTGTTGCTATGGAAACATTAGTGAAAATAAACTTTGTCTTATATTACTGTAGTAATTCTGTCTTGTTGGAACTGTTCAATTAGGGATTGTAAAATAAAAACAAATACAGGAAATAAAGTGGTTCTGAAAAGTGATTTTGGAAAATAACATTTTTAAAAAACTTTGTAAAAAAATCTAGACTTTACTTTGTTAATAAGGCCCTATAAAAAATATTAGTTTATGACTACAGTAATCTAGGCTGGAAAAGTGATAAAAGTGGGAGGCTTTTATTTTTATTATTATCATTTTGCTATAGCCACACTTGCGTTGTTTGCTAGTGCATTGATATTCAAAGTAAAATGTAAATGAGATAGTAATACCTACTAACAATAAAAATAAAGAAATATATATTTTTTTTTTTAATTTTTGTTTATTAAAAAAATATATATATATTGTGCATGCACGCAAGGGTGATAAACTAATAATTTTTTTTATTAGGCCTAACATGTTGGGAAATGCAACTATTAACAAATTCCGGGAATTGGTTTTTAAATGGAGAAGGTCACCTTTCACTTAAAATATAGAATAAACATATGACATCATATGTTATACCATGGAGGTATTATTGAGAAGGAGATCACTCGGCAACAAATTCACATTTTTTCGTTAGCAACAACTTGGCAACGACATGCATTTATACGCTTCCAGCAGAGCAGTTGTGCAATAAAGCGTTTGATTTTAACCCATTAAGTATCTTTATAATGAACAGTGTTTCCCTGATTAGATTTGTTCGGACTTTTGGTGTGTTATTATTTGTATATTTCAGGAACAGATTCCGTAAAATATTTATGTTAAAATTACTTCTGTGTTCATTATAATTTTGTCTAAAGATTGAGTAGTTCGACTATAAAGCTAAGTCAGCGTAAAACTGAAAAATACTCAGATTTTGGATTGATTTTTCGAATAGTTAACCCTCGTTAACCCTAAAATGACTTAGTTTATTATAATCCTCAATCATTTATTAATTAATATCTGTTAAAATTAGAATTAGCGAATTTTGGCCAATTTATGAAAATTGAAGTTGAAATATACTATACTTTTAAAGGTCATGTAAATCTTCCATTAAATTCGAAACTTTTTTTGGTGGGAAATATTAATATGTTTGATATTTTATGAGAGATAAATGTATCAGCCTCAAAATGGAAACGATTGTGCAGCCATAGTGATGCCATAGTGATTGACTGTATGTAGTGCACATCGAGAAAAAAAGGTGCTCTCCATTTCACCATGTTCCATTTTTTGGTAAACTATGCCTGCTGAAAATTTGATGGCGGGGAACACATGGGACTTCAAAGGCATCGTGCAAACATTCTTCACGCGCTGCGGCAGCTTTGATCTTGGTTCATTTGCATAGCACTGCGTGCACGTAGCTTTTTTGAGTAATCTTCTCATAATACCTCCATGGTTATACCTTGAGGCTTAAGATGAGAGGGGAGAAAAATAGGCATCCACAGTCATAGGTTCATTCAAACATTCAACATTTTTTTCTCTCCTAAAAAGTGATGGATTTTTATTTTATCTATTTCAACTAATCACAGTAGGCCTACTGTTTAATAAGTTTAATATTTTTTGCTACCAAAAATTCTTTTTGGTGATCATCTTCTTGTTCATCTCTCCCATGGGATGGATACCTGATGGTATTCCTAGTGGATCATGTGACATTCCGATCTTATTTGTCATTGGCACCGAATCCAAGAGAAGATTATCACAGCCTGTTGCTTGATGATTAATAATGTGATTAGGTCGGGTGACCTCTTTTTTTCCCCTGATGATGGTAATCCTGCAGATCATGTCATCCATAGAGGGGGTCGTTTAACCTCGAAGGAGATTATGTAAAAGGATCATCATGTGGTGTAAACATACTGCACCATCGTCAATCATCTACAGTATATCATAATAGAACGAAACTTTAATTTCACAGTTTGTTGGAGATGTTTGTAAAGATGGCATTCAAAGGAATTCAATAGCCGACATGACTGTGACTATTGGCGGGAGATTGTCATGACATCATCAGTATGGAGTTTTTGCAAGCTTACGAAGCCAATAATGATTACGGTTGTCATCACATTTTTAGAGAACCCTTCACCTACTGTACAGTAGAATATTTGTTACACTGTAGGCGATTCAAGCTTTTTGCATCAATTAAGAATCTTATTCAGCTCTTAGAGCATATTGTCAAGAAGGTTTTAGCCACGAATGACGATAATAATGATGATAATTTCGTATTCGTTATCGTTTTCATAAGGTTGCGAAATCACTCTATTAATGCCTCAACAACCCCATGAATGAACAAATTAAGAAATAAATAATATGACAAACAGATATTATTATTACAGATATTGTTATGAAGTCGTAATACGACTAACTAAATAAGGCAGTCAAATCTCATCCACCTGTAATGGTGCTACCATTTGCAAATGTCTAGATTCTTTTCTTTCTTGTTACTTTTTTGCTCATAAATTTGTTGAGTAGGTTAAGTTGGTTATTTTAAGCTCCTCTGTGAATTATAGACCAAGCCCTCACTGGGGGGTTGTAGGTGCTGATAAATTAATCTGTGAACCTGACTCCTCTGTTTTGCCAGTTTTCCTTAGTTTCAAGAATATTTTTATGGTGTACTAAATTGGGTAATGTTTTTTTTTTTTTTATAGCATTTCTTTAAAATTGATATGAGCGCTATAAAATTGTTGCGTGAAGGTTTCTTTTTCCCATTATTTTGCTTGGTTTAACTGAAAAGAAAACTTATTCAACTATAAATATCTTACTATAATATTCAGATATTCAGCAGATTTCTGCTTGATTCGGAATAGCTTTTCACAACGACATAAGCTTTTAAATGTATGTCCACATTTTTGCATCCCCATAGCTTAAAATACTTTAAAAAAAATTGATGATATAATCGTTGTAATATGGTAAAAACATTCTTTATAAATATGTCTAGTTGAAGAACCAGTCAGTTTTGCTCTAATATCAACTTTCTTTTCTAGAAAACCCAGATAAAAAAGAAACAACTTTAATTGTATTTGTTCAATTACTCTAGGCCCACCTAAAATAGATGGCATTCCAGTGTTTTAGCAGAGGATACTGTTAACTCATAGTACTTTACAATACTATCATTATTCTTGGCTAATTTCTTTAAATTAGGAGCTTAACCACAATTAATCGCTACCTGAATAAGATCCCTGTTAAGCTTAAAGTTAGTCGCCACAATGAGCAATGTTTCTTTCATCTTGGGTGACATTATTAGTGAGTCAGTATGTCTTTGTGGGATTATATTTGTTAGAAATAGAAGTCTTGAAGTTTTTTGGTAGGGGTTTGTTCATGTAGTTTTTCATTTAATAATTGCTATGATTTTTTTACATTAGATTTGTTTTGCTGGAGACATACTATAATTTTGTTGTTTGAAAAGCTTCAAAATATATTATTTACCAGGTATATGTCTAATTTGTTATGCAAAAAGCTTATAAATACAACATGTACCATATGTTTTGATTTTTCTTTGACTCCCACAATAATAAAGTACTTGTTATGAAATAGTTTTAGTATATCACAGAAGCTGGATTGTTGCCATCACAATACTTATCATTCCATTATTACCATAATTATGCAATTTTTAGTGCATCCAGGGTGGGTAAAAAGTAGGAGATTAACAGAAAATTATGCAGAAAAATTGTGGCAGACACAGCATTAAAAAAAAAAACATACTTTGTACATTTTAAGTGAAAACTTAAAATGTTAGTACTAAAGAAGTAGAAAGGGTTTCAAGGTTATGATTGAAAAAATTAATAAATCACCAGTAGGCAGAAAACAGATAATGATGATGATAAAAGGATAATTAATAGATATAGAATAGCTGCACTCAAAGACTTGAGTAAAGAGTGAAAACAAAAAGTTGTCAAACTTTTTTATGAGTTGGAAGACAACAGAATTCGCAAAAAGTTGTGTTTCCTTCTAGCTGTGAGTACCATGCTCTAGATCAGCACTATATTTGGATCCCATTTCTTGATCAGTGGCTGAGGGCCTAAAGAGTATAATAGAGGCGGACCTAGCATCCGGAAGAATGAATGAAAGAAAAAGCGGTAGTATCAAATGTTAAAATGATTAGTTGATTGATTTTATTATATATTTTGCCTAATAGTTGATTGATTGATGGATTGATTTGCTGACTGACTGAAATTTATTCCACCAGTTATTCTTGATATTGAATTGCTAATTATATCTTACTGTTTTTTTTACAGAGGTTTTCAAGAGATCCATCAAAAAATAGAATGTCAATACCAAAATCACCAACATACGAAAACAACCGAGTTGGAAAACACATAATCCCGGCACAATCCATCACCCAGCTACACCGTGAGCTAGGCAAGGGTGAGTTCGGCAAAGTCATGCAAGGCATCTGGACAGATGAGCAAGGGCAAAGGGTAGGTACTTCAGTCTCTGTTGATTCATAAAAATCAGGATCTCCGATAAACATTCCATTTATATAGGCCTATCCCTTCTGATTATAGATTCCATTCTCTTCTCATTTTAACCCCTGTCAAATTAGGAACACATGTTTATCTTATGTTTAATATTTTTTATGATGTGTTGAGGCTTTAATAAAAAGTGATTTTCTTTCAGTTATCTCAGCCCATCCCTAAAAATTGCATGACTAAAGGTTATTGTAGGCATATACAGTACTGACAGAGGTTCAGTTACACAGTTAGTCAAAACAAATATGTACTGTTCCATATACTCTGTCACTGTTTTATCGGTTCGCTCATTTTTTTCCATAGTAAAAAGCAAAGAGGGACTAAAGTACTGTACCTCCTTGTCTAAAGCTAACAACCTTTTGAAAAATTGAACCTCACTTAAGGTTGACTCCATTCTAAACAATCGGACCCTCATCTTTATAATCCGTCCACTTCGACTGCGAGGCAATTTTTTCCATGCATGAACGATTGACTAAAATTCATTCCCTGTTGTAGCCCAGGTTTTCCTTGAAAGTTAAAGATATTTAATACTGGGCATTCTTGTAATTTTCAATTTTAACCTTTGGTGCAACTGTAATGAATTTTATCTAGAGAGAATAGTCGATTTATTTCTTATGTAAAAGGAATCAAACAATTAAACTTTAATGCAGGTCTCCCTCCAATTAAAGACCACTTTTAGGACCAGGATTTCCATGGTCTTTAGCAGCTTTGTTCTCTAATTAGAATAATAGAGTATAAAAAAATTTGATAATTAAGGACCACAAAAAATGGTCTTTATTTGGAGGTGATCTTTAATTGAAGTGGTCTTTAATTAGAGGGAGACCTGGTTTAAATGTCTACTACTGATAGTTAACCAATGACCCTTCTCAGATTAGAAACTTAATAAATATACTTTTTATACAGAATAGAGTGAAGAAATGCCCTTATTAGGCCCCATCTATAGTATGTTTGTTCTTGTTTTTCTAGAGCTCTTGTTTAATTTGTGTAAGGGTTTTATGCGTTCTCTGGAAATAGATTTGTAGATTATTGTGACCTGTGAAGTGTAAAGTATGCTTGTAATTGATATAATATTGATGCAGAACGGAATGGCACAGGGCTTTTTATACAAATTATAATATAATTTATATAATTTATACAAAATAATAAATATTAATATAATATAAATTTAATAAATTATAACTTTCACTATTACAGTAAGAAATACTATATGTTTGTAATTATAATATCATTGATACACAACAGAAATACACACGGCTTCTTATACAAATTATATAGTATAATTTATATAATTGATACAAAGTAATATATAATATATTTAATGTAAAATATAATATAATTTAATAAATTTTAACTTCCACTATAAGAAGTGATCTCACTATAGTGTAGTAATAATATCTCTAGAAGTAGCATCTAAAATGTTCATATTTTACCCTTTTTTTAAAGTATATTTTATGGTTTTTATTAAATGACAGTACTGTATTGTTTTTTTCTTTTGGGTGAATAATTTGGAATTCAAGTAAATTAGATTTAAAACCAGTGTGACTGTACTTGCCCTATGGAAATGATTTTACCCACAATGCTCTTTAAATATTCTGTAATTATTTTCTTTGTGTGGTATTCTACTTATTTAGTTAAATAATTAATATAATTATAATAATGTAATAAATATAAATACTAGTAGCCAAATACTCCCACAAACAATGGATAAAAAAAAATGAATAATAATAATAATATTTATATTATTGTATATTATAGATTCAGGTGGCAATTAAATGTCTAAACAAGGATCGTCTTGAGACTGGGGAACATGATTTTTTGAAGGAGGCAACGATAATGCATTCGCTAGACCACGAGAATCTTGTCAAGTTGTACGGAGTTGTCTTAGACTCTGAGAATTCACTTATGCTGGTAAGTTCTTTTCAAAAGTTTCCAAATTTGGGGAAAATCTTGATTCACTCCTTCTGTTACTCGAATTTTTGGTCTGGCTCCAAATTTAATATTTATTTTCATGTATTTTATTTTTACATAACTTTAGACGTCCAGAGGTTGTGTCAGCAGTGAAGCGCCATAACACAAGTATTTCTGCAGCATCTTTATCCATCCATCATTGGCTGCCCTCTAACTAATATTAAAATTGTTTACCTCCATTGGTGTTGACCTGTCATGAATATTCATGAACCTCATAAGGTTTTTGGATTGAATTGAATTGATTTATTTGCATCTCTTAAAATTACAGCAAAAACACTAGTCATTAAAAAATACATAAAATACAAGAAAATATATACGCAAAAAAGAAAAAAAACAAAAGGGACAAAATTCAAGAGATGCCGGATAGCCCATAAAAGTTCCAATTGGAACTTATTTCCAATAGGGTCTGCATAAAAAGAAAAATTGAATGGCAAGAACAGTAAAAAACAAAAAAGCAAAAACAGACTACGAATCAAAACTTTAGCTCAATCAAATTGAAAATTCTTTACAGATTAAAATTATTAAACTAAATCCAAACCCTTGGCTCTATCAATAAAATATTTCTTTACATTCTTTTTAAAAGTTTCTAAAGATCCACTATTTTTAACAGATTTTGGCAAAGCATTCCAATTTTTAATAGCTTGATATACAAACATGTTTTGAGCTACTGATTTAAAAGTTGGATGCTCATGTTACATTCAGAATGTTCTATACGTTTCAATGTGTGTTACGGTGTGATGCATGTAGTAAAATATGCATATGGGTTCTAGTATAACAGAAAAATCGACCTAGGATTTAATTTTCCACTGTTTTAACACAATGTGATGATGTCATGATAGGCCTGCTAAATGGTAACATTTGGTTGATTTATTCATTCAATAGTTATCTCTTACAATACAAATATTGCGAACACATGAATCTAATTTTTGCTTTTAAATGTGACCATTTTTTTGTTCATAATACCAATGGTTTCCTGTAGTTGTTGATAATTGTTAGGAAGGCTAGTACCGTATTAAAACCATATTGTAAATTATTTAACACAGATGATATATCAAAAACTACCTCAAATTTGCACGGAAAATTGCTGGAAAAATTGGTGGACAGAATCATACTAATGCATAATGACGTACATATTAAGAGGTAGTAAGAGCATTAATTTTCAGCAAAACCTGCACAGATATCAGCCGTTATTTTCCAAAAATCCATGGAGGATATATTCCCTGCACAGGCCTTTACAGTCTGGGTAATAAATTTGTTAGAACATGGTTAGTTTGATCCATCAAAATGTTAGGATTTATCTCAATTCCCACTGGTTGGAATGATTGGCTAACAACAGCTTTAGGGTTTAGAAACAAAGCTATCTTAATCTCCACTCGGGAACGAACATTAAAATAGATTTACAATAATGAATTTTGATGTATGAACATTTGCTGTCCATTTCTGAGTGACAAAACATTACTATAGAGAATTCTGTACTTAGGCCAAGTATTTCTAAGAACTCATCTATAGGTTCCTTGAGGGATGCATCTTAGTTTATTGCCCTCCATTAGGAATCCAATGCTCCAATGGTAGCGAAGTAGGTCTGCTCTCTGAAATTATTTGTTGTAATGTGGCGTACAGTATCTAGGGGAGGGTGTAGAGATGCATGCTCCTAAAAAAAACTTGAGCCGCCCCCCTCCCCCCAGGTCGCAAACGAAGATCAAACTATGTGTCTTACTGTACAGTATGGTATAAACTGAAACTTTGTAAAGTGTTAATTTAACCACATTTTACTGCCTGCTACATTTTCACATTGCCACCATTAATTTAAGTCGTGTCGGTAATTATGCTATCCACAAGACCGACAGTTCGTTTTCTTGATAAAACCCGAAACAACAACACACGTTATGACATAGTTCTAGACCTGATCCAGGATGTACCAGTTCCCAAGAGGACTGCGCCACTGCTGTTTCTCAAGAGATTCTAAACCAGCTTTGTAGTTGTCAGCAAAGCTGATCACCATGATCTGATCAATGAACTCGTGAAAGCCTAGGTCTGATTTATGCGGATGAGTCATGTACTAATCCAAGCCATCAGGGACTTATCAACTACTTATCATTGATGAGGCTGAAGTCTCCAATAGGCCTAGAATATACAGTAGCATTTAGCAGAATAATTTTATTTTTTATGAGCGAGACAACTGTTTGATAATCATTGTAGTGGCAATATAAAGTCTTTGTTTTAAGGTTGTGTAATAAATGCTATTTAAATGTTTAACCATATTCTACTGAATATAAACTCAGGGGACTAGTTACGAAATTTACTGAAACTAATGTTTGGCTTTTACAAATTTGCATATTTTGGAACATGCAACATTTACATTAATTTAGTCTAATTTTAATAGATTAATAATTGTTTTTTTTTTTTTAACATTTTAGTTTTAATAATTACAACATTTGAGGGGGTTTTGTCAATTACAAAATGGTTTAATTGTCTGATGATGATCATAAGCTTTGACTTATCCAGACCAAATTTTTATTCTCAACAATCAAATTGTGCTTATTTCCTCTAATCAAAATTCCTTCTTATGCTGACCCTCTTCCCATGAAAAACCAGAACTGATTGTTTACCGGTATTTGTCTTATTTTTTTCTTTACTTTCTTCACTCATTTCTATACATCTTTCTCGCTTGTACTCAAGTCCTATTTCGAACCTCATTCTAAATTTGCTTTCTACTGCATCACTGTCTCCTATCCTAAATTCCATTTCAACCATGTTCTTTTCCCTTCTGGAATCATACTCATGAAATTTTATTCACCTAAACAAAAATGTCAATATATAATCCATACATTGCATGTAGACAGTAAGGTGATCAATTTCTGAATAGATGACTGCTAAGATTTTTGCAATAAATTCTATCGTGATCATAGCATTTAATGTTGCATGACCACTCAGTAAATTTGTGAATGTTCTGTGACTGTTCATCATGTTTTATATACATGGCTTTATTTGTTGTACATATTGTGCATTTCTAACTGAACAAAGACACTGATTTATGATCACATCTGTGGAATGGTTTAACGTTTCATCCTCAAATTCAATATTTGCTCCAGTCAAGTTGTTTATTACTGCATCTGACGAAGAGATCACGATATACAGCTGACATCATGGAATGTATTGCAAATGCTTGCAGTACATTTTAAAGCGGCATCCTATAGTTCATAGCTACTACGCTGCGGTGCTACCTCCCAGAGGACCATTTCTTTCTGTGCTGTATATGTTATTTAAAGCACATTTGCCAAAGAAACAGCTCCAGTCTCTCTACTGAGATTCAAAATTGGGCAGCTCGCTTGGTGAAGTGTGCCACAAGATTTGAACATGTACTGACATTGTTGAAAGTCTATCGTTAGAATCGCGCATGCAATTTAAGACCTTGCTGCTGGTTTACCACTGCCTAAGCAGTTCTGCTCCCAAATATATCTCTGACTTGCTAAACATCAAAAAGAGAAAATGCGAGAACTACTGTAAGATGTAGGCAACAAGTGCTCCTGGATAACCGAAGGAGCAGACATAGCTGGGAAGATGGGAAGATCAGGATTTTAGCACTGCTGGACAAAGGATCTGGAATAAACTTCCTCTGAACATTAAAAAATCACCTTCACTTGACAGTTTTAAGTCACTACTCAAGATGCATCTTTTTTAATCTCTTTTTTAGAACTGCACCACAAGCAAGGACTGTTGGATGGAATGGTGCCATATAAAAAGAAAGATTGATTGATTGATTTGCCAGGGATGGTAAATCATGAAATTACTCACTAACTATAAACATTATAAAAAATATAAAGACAAATGTAACATAATTGTATCCATAAACTGATTTGTTGGTAATGAGGAAGACTTGAGCCCATTACCCTGGAATTGAAACAGTGGTAGTGCCAGAGATTTCATACAAGGGCTCCTGTCCCTGCTGGGTGTTGGGTGAGTGGAGGGTGGCCATACGCTCCTCTCTGAAAATTTTGAAAAGCCAAGTGCACATGATTATGGGTAGATTCAGCTTAGCTTGCCACGTTTGCGAAGTACAGTACTTATCTCACCTTTGAATAAATATTGTTTAAAAAATCTCTGCTAGTTTAGTGTACATAGTACGGTACTGTACATGTACAGTGTTGAAGAAGTGCTTCTGACAAAACAATTCTTCAATCGAATGCTTTCATCTCAGCCATTTCTTTTCAGTTTCACTCATAGATTTGGCCAAGTGGGGTGGGGATGGTCATACTCTACATAATGTGAAACAAAATGAAAAGAGCTCATCAAGTTTCTTACAACCTCATGAGCGTAGTATATTTTCAGTGTTAAAGAAGTGCTTCTGAAGAATCATGCATCAGTCGAATGCTTTGGCCTGGCTACTGTACATGATAAACATGGTTGATACGCTGCCAAGTGAACTTAATTATTGCATTGATTATTATGTGCACATGGACACAATATGTTGGGGCTGGATTTACTGGCATGCAGCAGGCTTACCTTGTTAATAACCATATTATAAATTGGATATTAATTCATCTGTTCATTCTTGACCGAATTCCGTGCCCTACCCAAAAAAAAAAAAAAAATGAAGATAAAAGTCAGAATGAATGCCATTTCTGGGTATCTAGAGGTGCCATAATCTTAATAGCTCCCATTGGGATTATGTCAAAAATTTTGTCAATTAACATCTAGAGGGGCCTATTCTTAAAATTTGCTCACCTCAGCCCCAACCATGGTAAGGCTGACGTGGGTGTGGACTGTGTAACTACTATTTTCTAAAGGATATGTTCAATATTAGTGATACAATATTGTTTTGTTTTTTTTCATGGTATGATAATCTGTACAGCAGTGATCATATAAGCCATTACCTGCAATTATTATCACTACTGGTATATTATTAAGTTTTCTCATTATTAGAGCTTCTTTCCATGCCAAATCTAATTTCATTTTACAGCTTGCATATTTTATTGTAGTTACTGAAGTATGCATTAGTATAGAGAGCCTCAAACATATTATATTTTTCTCTACATATTTTATGAAAATATTGATTACAATGCCATATTGGAGACAGGTTTTGTTTAATTTATTTGGAAACCTGCACAACCAATAAGTCCATAGATCTGATTAGTTGCCAGGTTTTTTTAATGATTATTTGGTGAACAAATTTTTGGCCTTTTGTGAAGTACCAACCATAAGTATAATTTTATATTCTGTGAAATATATAATTTGAACTCAGATTAACAAAAATCAAAGTTTCGAAAGGCAAGTTAGTAAGAGTTAATGAACTTACACTCTAGTTACATTGGCACTCGCTTATTGACAGTGTGTTCAAAGACAACAAATATTAGTAAGTAAAAGTTACAATAAAATTAAAACCAAAAAGCACATTCTATCACACTTTTTTTTTTGGTAAAATTATTTGTTCAAGCTAATTGCCTATTCTCTTTCCTGGCAAATGATATTTCTTGAATGCCAAATAAATATTATTATTTATTATTATTATTATTATTATTATTATTATTATTATTATTATTAGATGTCTCAACTGATAGGACACACATATGACCATATATGGAATTAAATCTGTATTCTTATCAGTTTTAAATGTTCTATTTTTCCACATCTGCAACCTATAGACAGCAAATGGTGAATATATTAGGAATTTCTTGAATTTTATGATGTCATTCAAAACTAATCTTTGGATTTTGCGTGGAATTTCATTCATAGATTTACAGGTCATTAACCTTTTTGAATTTTTGTTTGTCAAATAATAAGTTGATATTGAATAGGACTAAAGAATTTTAAATCCACTCAACTTTATATATTTTTAATGTTAGCTGCATTTAAATGATTAATAGAGGTTGGGGCAGAGGATGGGAGAAACAGGTGGTGTCTGGATGGGCGGGATGTTTCTACTGTAGACTTAATAATGATTAAGTCTTTTACAGTATTGTAACTTGCATATTTAGCCTTCCAGATAAAACACAAGGAAAACAGCTTTGGGCGCAGATCTATTTTGAATGGTAGGTGGCGGGAGGGGGCGGGGAGAGTTGTTAGTCCACACTCACCTTATATACAGGTAGAAGTAAAATTCATCATATTCTCTGGCTGTACAGCGCTCTTTTTCGTTAAAACCTGGGTCATTTATGCAGTTCATTTCAACAATTTTCAGGCATTTTGACTGGAATTACATTGCGGTTGAAAAGTGGGGGACTAACCCCTTAAAAATATGTGGGAGGGGAGGAACATGTCCCGCCATCCTCCATGATCTGTGCCCATAAGTCTAAAAAAGATTGTTATGGTTCAGTACACATAGAGATGAAGAGAGACTCCATGAATACATGTTCCATTAGGCCCAATAAAAAAAATCATTAGTTTATCACCCTCGTGCACATGTTTTCTATGGTGCTGAAAAAATTAATTTTTTGAAGATTTTTTTTTTTTATTAAATAGTTAGTAGACATTATTTTGTATTATCACAAATAACCCAAGGGTGATATTTGGTTTTAGCAAAATAAAAATTTAAAAAAAAAACCTTCCTTCCTCATCATTTTTCCAGTCTAGATAGGGTGATGATAAAGCTAATAATATTTTTTATGGGGCTTTATGCAGATAGGCATATCACAAACAAATGTTTAAAATGAAAGAATGCTATAATAATAACATAGTTAGAAAAATGTCATTCTTGCTACTGTACAGTATAGAAAATGAATATATAATAACTAAAACTCTCATGTTTGATTCCCTGATGTGGTAAACTACTTACACCATCTGTCCCCTGACAGCGATTAAGCATACTGTATTGGTCATAGGAGTTATTGATCTCGTGTCACTAACATGATTGAGGATCAATATGATTGGAAAGTAGGTCACTCCATTCCTGATGAGCTTCCTGTCTGGTTTTGAATTTTCCTTGTTTTTAAGCGGTTATTTTTGAAGGGGTGTCTCATTCCAACAATATTCCAAATATCTCTCTCGACTTTAACAAGATGGTTATTTTGGCTTGTAGAAGTTGGCAAGTAGGCCATGTAAAATGTTTTTCCATATGTGTATTTTATAGAGTAGTCAGCGAGACTGAAAGGAAATTAAGCAGTTCCCTTTACATTAATAGTTTACATTCCAAGTCTGTCAGGTGAATCCCTGAAAAATATATAATTTATTTCAGTATTGATGGTTGGAAATGGGATGGCCTTGCTTGGGGTCTGGGTGAGGTGTGGATGGAAGGCTAAATCCCTGGGTGAAAAGCTGTCCTGTGGTGAACTATCAAAGAGAGGTCTCAACACAACAGGCTTAGGCCTATGTAAATTTTCGTAAAGCCCTTCATATATTGTAGACATTCTAAATTCTTAAACCTGATGTTTTCCTGTTTATTTTATAATACTTATGTATTAACTTAAAATAATTCATGAAACACTTTGACGAAAGTGATACAAGCCATCCTTGTAATTCTATATTTCAAACTTTCAGAGGTGGAAAGGGCTCAGTTGGTCCATGTCTCCTCCCCCTAAATTCATGAAAATAAAAACAAATTTAACTGCTTTCAAATTTCACTATAAGTGCCATTTCCAGCCATCTAGAAGTGCCATTGGCATAAAATTTCATACCTGGTGGGGCTTGACTGCTTGCTTTTTTTTCTTTTTTTTTTTTAAATTTATAAACAGCAAAGTCTGTAAGTCTGTACTTTCTGTCAAATGTTTATTCAACTGTGTAATTTAATATCTTGTCGTAATTAATATTAGACAAGAACAATCAAAGACTTCTTGAATCTTATCTTGAAGCTAATTTATCCTAAATTATGTTTTCCAGATTAATCACTCACTTTAAAGATTTAATTTAGTGAAATTCCACAAAACCTGCTTCATACTACTGTGATGATTGCAACCAGATACAGAAATTAATTGGAAACAAAATGATTTTCTAGCTTCCAGTGTGTTTACTGAACATAAACCAGAACTACTATACCATTTCCACCAGGATATGTTTCATCTCAAGATCCTTCCTCAATTCTCAGCTCGTCTGCATTTGAAGCTAATCCCATTTAAGTCCCCTAATCCCATTTGCTCATGTGATGGACACTAATGAAAATTACTCAACTGATGTATCTGCCAAAGTCACAAATAAGGAAATCAAAGCCATAAAGATGCCATTGGCTTGTTTTCTTTTAATGGGAAAAATGCAGCAAACAAGATCCCTGTAAATATTTGTACGATTTCTTTTAGTCAGGATGAGGTTATATAAGTACTGTATCCCATAATAATAATTGTCTCATTTTAGAATTGGTCATGTATTGCTCCTTGATATGAGGAAGTTTTTAAGTAGTCCTATAATATCTTAACGAAGTGCTCTTAATAAACTTATCAATTGGAATTATAAGAAAAAAAAATATGCCATTTAGGGGTCATCCATAATTTTCAAAAGCATACAAATCATACACTTCAAGGTGGGAGGTGGTTGAAAAGATAAAATAATGATCTCAGAATGACACAAATCATTGTGTACCCTTGCAGGGGGATGTGGGAGGGTAAGAGAGAATTTGTATGTAAGCCATATATTTATTTTGAGTATCCTTCTTGCAATTCATATTACATAATTATTATAATGATTGTACACAAGTTTTATATACTCAGGATTGTATACTATTTATATTATAAATAGTATTATTATTTACTTTTGTCACTCTACCCAGGAGTATTTTCTACTGTATATTTAATGTTTTTGATTTTTTAAATCACCATGAATTTTTCTCTTCTTTCAGGTGACGGAGTTAGCTCCACTGCGATCATTAGCGGAATGCCTAAAGGAGCCTTCTCTCCGTGGAAGCTTTCCTATTACAACGTTATGTGATTTTGGTGTCCAAATAGCATCTGCCATGGAATACCTTCATAGTAAGAACGTTATTCATAGAGATTTGGCAACACGGAATATTCTTGTTTTTTCAAAAGATAAGGTACGGTAATGATAAATTCTTTAACTTTGCCTTCCTTCAAAAATTTGATTTAAATATAAAAATTTTCTGCTCGCTTCTTGTGTTTTTGTATATAATTTTTTAATATTATTTTATATTTTAAACATGTTTTAACTGTTAACTGGATCTTAAGGAAGGACAATGTCAACTTGATTAAGTATACAGAATAAATAAAGATTTCTAGATATCTATCTATTCTAGCACAACTTGCTTACTTTTATATGACTACACAGATGTACCTCTCTCCATTTTTATTCTCTTTCCAAATATATAATCATTCTGAGAGAGGGCGCAATACTAAAAACATCAATTTCATGACATTGTAACAATTGTATGGTGTTATTACAGAAATCACAATATATAACATTGTATATACATTTCTTTTTTTTTTAAACATTAAAATATATTATTATACAGTATTATGTAGTTACTGAGGTCAGAAAAGGCGCAGAGCAATCAATCAATCTACTATTTGTAGGCCGAACTAGTTGTTTTCTGCAGCTTTGCTGTCTCATTACAAATAAAATTAATTCTAGATAAAATAACAAACAAAAATTGAGCATAAAGGATACAATTAAAATTAAAGAATTACATTAGGTTGTGCTCACTTTTGCCAATCCAGTCTTGAATGTTTTCATGAAATGAAACTATAAAATGTCAGTTTATACCACCTACAAACAAGTTGTTGTTGCTACTGAAGATATATCATTTGTCAGGTGTGCTCATCTTTGCTTTCATTTGATGGATAGCCTTGCATAATTTGATCTTGTTTGCCCAAGTTCAATGACTGAATGATACAATGTGTAATGAGAGTTCAAAGAAAAATTTAATGAAAATCAGGGTGGGAGTGGTTGGTGTCATCGATCGTTGTTTGTCCTGACATTGAGGTGGTTTGGGAGGGGGAGGGGTGTTTCAAGTGACATTAAAGTTTTGTTGATATGTTCACAGTACACTGCTGCATGACTGAATATTACTACCTAGGGTACAGCAGAGATTATTTTACATAATGTCATTAAATTGGTCAATGACAGTAAAAGTATGATAATTTTGCAAGCTTTTGAAATCCTCAGTGAATATCAAACATTAGTATTTAAAGTATACGGTACTAATGTGGTATAAGAATATAAATAGCATGGAATGGAACATATTGATTTGATTTCATATATTCCCCTCATCTCCTCATTGTCCTAAAATCATTTGATTTATTGTACAGGTCTGCTTCATTATACATTTTTGTCAACACACTAAATCATCATTGGGTACTTATAGCTCTACATTTCTTTGTTTACTATTAGATAAAATTGTGAACTAAAGCCTGCAAGGATGATATTTTGTGTTACTGCATATACAAATGACCATACAAGCAGCCACAAGCTTGTTTTTCTATTAACTGACAAAACACAGTTGGCCTATATATTGTCAATACAGTACAGTATAAGAACAATATAGTTATTTTTAAAGTAATTGTAGTCACAAAGTTTTCCTTTTCTCATATTACATATCTTTGCTTGAACTTGTCATTGGACTAATGTTCCAAAGTACGATACCAACATACCTTACAGTCCCCGAGGGAGCCCTTCTATCCAACATCAATAGTGCAAGTAAACCATTTTACAAGGATGTTGACCAGACAAATAGAAATTCACATACTTAGGCAAGACTTTTTTTTTATACCTTATTTCACAAACTTATTTTTTTAAAGATCATCAAAAGGAGGAAAAAAATAAAAATAAAAATTTGTTTTCTTATTTTGCAAATGGTTTAGCCATAAACATTCAGATAGAGGAGAAAATAAAATAAAATGTTACTTTTGAATGTAAACAGTGTACTAATGGGATGGTTAAATTCTTTAAATTTATAAAATTAGGAAGAAATATAGGCCTACATATCTTATTTTTGGAAATTAGAAGGCAGTGATGGGCATAATAAAAATAAAGAAAAATTTTTATTTTTTTCTGAAATTTCTATTTTTTTCGTGGCAGTGGGTGGGCTAATTGGCCAGAAGTAAAACTTCATTTTTATTCGAAATCATCATTTATTTGTGGGCGGCTAAACAAGGTATAAAAATGGCTAAGCAGTGTGAAGTACTTTTTTTTTTTAAATATATTATTTGGATTTAAAATGTAGATGTTATCTTTAATGTTCACTTAATTTTTGATGGAAGTTCTCAAGATGTGGATGTGCTTTGTTTGATAGTGAAATAAATTATTATGGATGAATCAATCACTTCAGAAAGTTCAGTAACTTTGGTTTCATTTCTTTCTTAAAAGGCCATATTTGACAAGAAACTTGAAATAATTTGACTCAGCAGAGAAAGACAACTTTTCAATAATTAAACACTTTGAAAACCACACATGCTGGTGAAAGAAAGTGAAACATACCATGTTGGAAGTTGAAAGGCCTTTAAGCCCCATTCCCGGCAAAATTTCACTAAAAACTGACTTTTTTAAGAAAATATTCATTTGTATTACTCCAATTATTATAAATCATGAAAAAATATTTGCATGAATTTTAGTTTTACGCAAAAGAATAAAAAAATGAGAAATACAGACTATTTCTCATAAAATATTACCATTTTCTCAACGAATTCATCGTTACTAGGCAAATTCAGAGGTTGTAGATCGCATCCACTGGAATACTCTCGCTTTTATGTATACTTTATACAGTCAATAAAGTGCGCCCTCTCTAATGAGATTAGTTTTTGTACTTCGCATCTCGCACAATACGGTCGTTCGGTTAGACTGAGATATGTTTGTTTAAGTGTCAAAATCTCAGTCAGAATTAGTTTTTTAACAAATTTGAAATAATTCCTATGAAATATTATATTCACAAGTGTCAATACTAGCAACGGAAAATATCATGTCGGCCGTTTTTATGTGTGATAACAGAACCTAAATCGAGGTAAGGCT